GATCTGTTTTAGATTCCACCTTGTTGGTAGTGTAATTTCGAGAGTAGTAGGACAATTTCCAAGAAAAAAAGGATCTTTGGTATCGTTTTGGGACTCTACCTCATTGATAAGAGAGTTTCCAAAATAGTATGACTAATTTCATAAAAAAAGATCGGGGGACGTTTTTGAGACTCTACCTTGCGGTAAAGGTAATGTAATGAATGGTATCACGAGTTCGATGAAAAACGTCTTTAAAACTCTTTGTGAGACTCTACCTTGTTCCTAAGGTGATATTGAGACTAAGAAGAGGATTTTATTGAAAAAAGATCTTTACAGGTATTTTTTTGACATTCTAGCGTTCTGTGAAGGTAATATGGCGAATGGTATCATGAGTTTGGCGAAAAAGGTTTTTAAAGATCTTTTTGAGACTCTATGTTATTAACATGATATTTTCAAAACTCCTAGGGCTACTTTGATACGAAAGAATTTTGTGTCATGAGTTTGGAAATATGTCGTATTTTTAGAGTGTTTTAAGGATAAACATTAAGTAGAATAAATGAGACTGTAAAAAGGTCTTTTTGACGTTGGCTAATGAGTGCTGTTGACAGTCGAATACAGTGTCTTTTCGGCGTGTTCCGTGATATATACGATGTATTCCGTGCTTGTTTCTTGCGGTTACTTTCGTATCCGTTGGAGTATGATGTAGTTTTCGGTGTTTTCTGGTGAACGGAAAAGTTTTGAAATTGACTGGTTCCTGCTATGATGACTCTCCGATCGGAATACTACCACCCTGTTCCAGTGTTTTTATCGGTCGGTTCCGATAGTTATGGCGTAGGAACTGGCGAGCGTCGGCCAGAAAATGTGCCGGTTCCCATGGATTTCGGTTGGATTCATTGGCCGGAATCATCGCCTAGAAAGTATTGTTGAGTGTTGCATGAAAATAAACCGAATAAGTTAGTTTTGTTTTGGTCTCTTAATTTTGAAGATGGTTTTTTCGGATCTTATAAGAGAAAGTGCATAATTCGTTTGGCTTATTTTTTCTCTTGGCTTAGATAGAGCGGGTATTGGAAGAGCATATCATGCAAGGAATTCCTATGAGAGTGTGGGATGGATATGGGTAAGACTCGTATCTGAATTGTGCGTATGCGCCGAAAATAGATTGATTCGGTCACTGAGTCCATTCATCAGGTTCTTGTCTTCAGAATGCAGTCGTTTTCTTAGGTTTTCTGACAGGTGTTAGCTATCCCTCACTCACCTGGGTTGGAATCGACAAGAGTTCTCCATAAGAATTTATCCGTTAGAAGTCGTTTTGTATATGGATAGAAGTTATGTTTCGCCTCCAGTATATCGAAACCAATCCACAGCTGCCCTAAGTGCATCCTGAGTGCATACATTTTAACCTTGAAACTTGAATTCAATCGAAATTTCAAGTTTCAAGTTTCAACTTACAACTTATATGAATTGCGCTTCACACGCTTTGACACATACACAACATCGCAGCAAGTGTGAGTGCGACGAAGCAAGTTTCATGGACTGTGATTCACATGCGTTCACACACATAAATGATCGAAGCAGATGAGGATACGACGGAAGTATCTCGAAAGTTGAAACTTGAAATTTCAAGTTTCAACTGAAATTTCAATTGAATTCAGGTTTCAAGTGTCACAGTACTGACCTAACCACGAGCATACAAACGATTCCATCAGCTGCACATTCAAGTGAGCCCTTGTTTAATAACAATAAGCGTAATTCCCTCGACTGTAGGGAGGGTCATATGAAAAAAAATGGTTTGTGTGTGTGTTTGTGTCAGAGTCAAAGGTCAAAGGTGAAGTTCATTTAGGTGTAACTTCTGAAGTTTCACTAAAGATACTCGAGGTCCGGAAATCCGAACCTTATGTTAGGTTTTACATGTGACCATCCCATTGGCTAGAAAGCTGACCAATCAGAAATGAGCTTTTATACTGTAAGCTTTTTGGGCGTTTCGATGAAACTTTATCAAAGGTTATCAATGCTCAGAATTCCGAATCTGAGGTCGGATTTTATACGTGACCTTTTCATTGGCTAAGAAGCCGACCAATCAGAAATGAGCTTGTTTATTTTAAACTTTTTGAGACTTTTGATGAAACTTTACTATGGGTTATCGATGGTCAAGACTCCTAATCTGAGATCTGATTTTATATGCGGCCTTTCCATTGGCTAGGAAGGCGTACAGTCAGAAATTACCGTTGTCATCTTAAGTTTTTCTCCACTTTTGACGAAACTGTACTGTAGTTTATCGGTGGGCAGGATTTCTAATCTGAGATCGGAGTTTATATGTTAAAAAAGTTGACGAAAGTAAGTTGAGTTCGGGGAATCGGAATCTGTAATCGGTTTTTCAAGATTTTGAGTTGGACTTCTTCAGTCAAAGAAAGAGTTTCTCGAGAAAATAACTATATTTTAGAAAAGTTAGGGAGCCTGAATGGGCGGGCGTCAGTGCATCCAACTCTTTACTGTATTGCTGGAAGTTTGCCGCTATAATTTTACAATCAGAGCAAGGTTTTTTAAGGAAACAATAAGTTTTCGGTGTATTGAACATTGAGTGGTATGAAATAGAATGAGCTTGTGATCTGACAATGATTGGGAGAGTAACATATTCAAATATGTTAGTGGGATTACAGGGTCGACTATCTCACTAGTATAAACTATATCTGAGGTTTTTTCAGGGTGGATATTGGATGTTGGTATGAGGTAGAACACGATCAACCCGCTCAGATACATACTCACAGCGAAAGCGACAACGACACCCACACCATGAATATTCCTAATATCTAAATTCAAGTTTAAGTCAAGGCGACATGATTGACATCTTGAGGGTGGATGTGGATGTGGGTATACGACTGTCTTCAACACCATCCATACCCATTGGCGGGCCGGCCCATGGAGCGAGGTGTGGCAATTGCCACACCCTGTGTCTACGTAATATTTGAACAGCTATAGGAGTTCGAATATTACGTGGGCAAAATTTTACTTTTAGATCCTAGGCCGGCCCGCCGGTGCCCATACCCACACTCACGCCCGCAATTATACTACACTGTTGATATCTCGACCGGAGTGTAGCTTGTATTCATAGTCTTTTAAGTTTTTTCTGCTGCATATATGCCCTATGGATGTACCGATTTTCAGCTCAAAAGCTTTTTAGTACTTAAGAGATTTCATCGTAAGAGAATAAGTATCAAGTTATAGGTGTAATGATATACTCTTAATGACATAGTCATAAGGGTATACTCGTAAGGACATAGTCATAACGGTATGGGGATAAGGATATAGGTATAAAGATATAGATATACAAGTATAGGTATAAAGATATAGCCATACGAGCATAGTCATAAGGATATAGGTATACGGGTATAGTCATACGGGCATAGGCATGAGAACACAGCCTTAAAAATACAGCTGTAGGAGTGTAGTTATACGGTATAGGCGTAGGGATTTAGACACTGAGGTACCAGCATTCCGATCTAGTTTGTAGGCTATAGTCATTACAGTGTAGCAACAACATAGGCGGATTTTGTAAGAATTGCTCTGAATTTTAATCGATTTCTAATCGATTCTTAATTGGTTCTGAATCAATTGATAATCGATTTTAATTGTACACCTGTAATTGGTTATTAATCGATTTCTAACCGATTAAAATCAGCCTTAATATATTTTAATCGAGTAATATAGTAGAATAACTGCTTCTGCTGTTATAATCGATTATGGCTAATTATAATCGGTTTTTAATCGATGACGAGTTGATTTATAATCGATTCATCATCGATTAAAGAGTATGATTATAATCGATTTTTAATCAAATTGTAATCGATTTTAATCTGATTTTTCCCGTATTGTTTTTTTACATGGGATGGATACTGCTGCATTAGTTTTATTCATTTGGATTTCCGTTGCATACCATTGAATGCGTCTCAGTTTCGTTCGATGAATTTATAAGAAAACATATCATAGACACACGCATGTCATTGTACACAAGGACATTGATGAGAATGTCAATATTCGCATTCATGTGCGCCCTTTTCAAACTTTCGATACCAGCTGGGTTGAGGACTGCGAAGCAGTGCACAATACTGAAACAGCTGAATATTCAGTCGAGGGTCAAGCGAGTCATATAGACGAGCATTACTTGTAATTAGTGTGCCAATATAAACACCGGTTCTATCTTAGTGAATAACCATGTATGTAATAACTTCTTCTTATGTACACCAATAATTATCTCTTCGTGTAGATCTTTTCTCTCTCGTGCTTTCTCTCTTTCTTCTCTGTGCGTCGCTTTGTTTCTCTCTTTCTCTTTCTTCTCTATGTTTCGCTTTGTCTCTCTCTCTCTGTTTTTTCTTCATTCGGCCACTCTTGATTGACTCTCGTGGAAAGACAAGAGAAGTACAAAAGGAATAGATATATCGAAATAAAATCAGTTGCATACACGACACGATAATCGATCATCGTTACAAGTAGTTCGACAGAAAGTACTTCGAGTGCTCACGAATGCCACGTCATTTTTACTCTCACGCAGAGACTTCGTGAAAAAGAAATAGATATTAAGAAAAAATATTTTTGTTCACATGAATAGGACACTTTTACAGTAGTGCCAAACTTGAAACCTGAATTCAATTGAAATTTCAAGTTTCAATAGGCGCAATGATGCGTGCGTGTGAATTCGTGTGTAAGTTGTGACTCTTGGAACTCTGTTCATTTTTGAATTTGACAACTGAAAGTTGAAAGTTGAATTCAAGTTTCTTATGTATGGGTTTCTTTTTAGAGCCTTTCATATTGAACGTCTTATATTAGTGGGTAAAGTCAAAGAGAATATATTATTTCCATCTGCCAGTCTAGTGCGGAGTTCACTGATTTATTTTTCCTTTTACTCACAGTAAAGTCTTCGTTTATAAAAATTGCAGACTAGGTAATTTGATCTCGTTACATCATATTTTAGACTTTATTATTAAATTAAAATTAAGCTTGTGAAGTACATTTTTTCCATAAATTGCATGGAAAATCTTTCAATGGCATGCCAGGAAGCTCTGAGTTATCGACAAGAAGGTTCTATTCAACTTATTCGTTGTGTTACACCAACTGTGGAAGAGCGAAATAATCCAGAATACGTACCTCAGTTAGAAATCAACGAGAAGGCACAAGAGATTATTTCTCAACGATTTAATGCACCTATCTCGATTATTGTGTATGTCGGAAACATGGGCGTTGGCAAAAGTAAACTGGCTTCACTTACTATTGCTGCATTAGAAAAGGAGCAACACCACCCATCTATGGGTTGGTTTCGAAGTGGTGTCAATCCTGACGGAATAACAAGAGGTGTTTGGATGTGGAGTGAACCGCTTTATCATCCTGATGATCATGAGGGCAAAAAAGGTTCAATTTTAGTCCTTGACTGTGAAGGAATGGGTGATTTAGACGAAACTACAGGTGCTAATCTGTATTTGTTCTGCATGATCATGAGCACCGCTTTTTGTGTTCTTCTTCGTCCTGCTCGTATTGAAAAGGATCAATGTGAACGCCTTTATCATGCGTTACGTCGATTCGAAAATATGAGAACACAACATGTTTTACCAAACTTTTGGTTAATCCCCTTAGATTCGTCTGAATTTGCTTACAGTGATGAAGATACCGGTGATGATGTAACTATCACGAAAGAACAATGGATTGAAATAGTATTTAGTGTAAAGGAAGAACGTAATCATCTATCGACCAGTGAAAATCAAAGATTGAAAACACAGTATGAATTTATTCATCGTATATTACCCAAAATAGACGCCATCAATATTGATCATCTACCACCGCCATTAAAGAAAAATACTAAAACGCTAGATTTATATTCGTTACTTCGCGAAGAAGAAGTATGTCAGTATTTCAAATCAATTCATACTGCAATTAGAGCGCTTTTAACAAGTGGAGGAAAACGACTTCCGGGATCCACTGCAGATAAAATGTTTGTGCGGCCAGCTGAGCTTGCCTGTTTCATGGGGGAACTCATTGAAGTTATTAATGGAGATAAACTACCGAACCCAGATTCACTCATCGGACGATATTTAACTGATCGATTTATTAATGGAGTCGAGAAAGAATGTCTTGCAAGATTCAAGAACGATTTACTTTACTATACAAAGGAGGTGCTCTGCAAAGAGTTAGGTAAACTACAGAGATCGCCAACTGAAACTGAAATATCAAAACTGAACGAAGCAATGAAGAATAAACATGCAGATACTGCGCGGTGCTTTCTGGATATTATTCTTCATCGTGTAAGATATGAAATTCTCGGTCTTGATGAATCTTTAAGATCTGAATTCAATGATGAAAAGGAACGACAGAAGTCATTGAATGAAATTCCTGTATTCCTTCGACATCGTTTGCTTTTGATCGAAGCGCAAATGAATGATTATCAAGAACCGACAATGTTGATTGAACGGGCCCGACATAATCTTACCATTGCAGATCTTCGTCGTCAGGAAGAGCAGAACAAAAAATTATTGGAACAGGCTCGGGAAAAGTTCGAGGAAGTGCATCGCATCGCTGTTCACGAAAGTAACATTAATCAATCATTGCGTGAAGAGAATTTGTGGAGAGTTGGAGTGGCTCCATGTTCATGTGGAGCTCGTGGTGGCGCTTGTAACATGTTACATACCACTTGTCAGTCGAAAAATCGAGGCAATTTGTATTACTTTAGGAATGACAACAATATAATGGTCTGTGATGAATGCCGACAAACTGTTAAATGTAGCCCTTATGACGCGCGTTGTCCTAGATGTGGCGAACGACTTAACGTTACACGAATTTATTGACTCCTATTGCAGCTGGAACTCTTGCTACTAAGAGGCTTCTTACTAGCCTAAATACCGCTTTCTTCATAAAGTGTTCTCTGCTTCTATTGCTTTTCTGATGTGGATGTAGGGTATGGGTGTGTGGGTGTGCTGGTATGCGTGTGTAGGTAGGGATGAAGAGATGATCTAGGATGTGGGTGTGGGTATGGGTGAGGGCGTCGGTGGAAAAAGACAATATCCACACCCACACTCCACACCCACACCCACGCCCACACCCACACATTCACATCCACACCCACACCCCCAGCCACAGCCACACCCACACCCACACCCACACCCACCCCCACACCCACACCCACACCCTATCTTTATTTTCTTTTAAGCATTGAAATATATAATCATCAAATGAATTTACAACTGAACTATGTCATTAACGTTGTCATAATAATAATTTTTGTTTCAGTTAATATACGAATTGCTCATTGTTCACCATTAATACATTCATATACATAATAATCTTTGAAGGATGATATCAATCGTTGATTGAAACAAGCAGAACCGATGAAGCAAAATATGTTATTCCTTGAAATAAAAACAAAAATAAATGTCATTTCATTCAAAAGAAACATATTAAAGTAAAAATAATATACCATATGACAACATACCTTGAGTGTGTGCGTGTTCGTCTGCTCCGTACATCGACTGAACATGTGAGAGAGAGAGAAAAGAAAAAAGAAACAGGTCAAAAGAGAAAATTTCTTTTTTTTTCTCTCGCCCATAAGTCATCGTTTATGTTATGATTGATGATCAATAATCACATGTATAATTAATATGTCAATCAATAAAGCTTTATCCATATACATACATTGAGATATTTGTGATTGAATATATCTCAATGTATAGGTGTGTCGCGATTAAAGCTTAATCGAAATTGACTTCTAATTATTTTTCGACGAGAAAAAAAATGAATATTTTCTCCTCCAACAAAACAAATGATTTTTGGAGAGTATAAAAATGAATGACTTCCAACGATGAAATCATTCAGTTTCTGAATCACATCATAATCATTTTTCTTTCCATATTTTAGTTTGGCTTCAACGATACAATGTGGAACAATTCAATATCAAGCAACACAATATGATAAAATGTAGGTATCAGTTTTAATTTCGTTTTTCTTTTTCTTTTTAAAATCATATGGAGGGTGATAAGTCCCTCATTGATCTGTTTTATGTTTTGTTTTTATTTTAGCTATTAAATATTAAAAGTAAGTAAAAACTTTTTGAATTATTTTTTTTTCTTTTAGATCGAGATGGATAAACGAAAGAAAGTAAAAATTTTTTTAATGTATTTTTTTTATTTCGGGATAATGGAAAGTCAACGAAAGAGATAACAGTGGGGTAAGTTATTCTCTTCTTTTCTAAATATACAGTGGGGGTCATAAGTCTCGCCCTACTTTTGTATTTTGAGTCGTCCATTTGAACTACACAACGTTGATTTAATTTGATTATATATTCTTGTAGCGGAGATCGAGCACTATCTGTATACATCTGTTCCATACGAAAAACTCTCGGAATATAAAATAAAATAGGCAAAGCAATCTTCAGTCCTACGAAAAAAATGACACAAAAAAAGGCAAAGTGATATTGTTGTCACATTCACAGTCAACTACAAACTAAGCGAAGTATTGAGAAAAGTTCTTCTTTTATCATACTTTGTAGAGCTTTTTGTGCTGATTATTTTCATAAAAAAATATTTTAAATTTCATGCAGAAGTGACAGTTTTATAATCAAAATATTAAACACTATAGTTCGAAACGTTAGTAGCATAAGTTGTTTTGCATATATCTCTGCACAAACAAATGATAAAGCTTTGGTTTTTTTTTCAAAAGATGCGCCGTGACAAGTACTATAACAAATTGTAGAAACCAATTTCCATTCATCCGTACTGATGATTTCTTACGCATTCGAAATGAAAAAAGCACATAAGAGTGCTACTTTTCACCTAATAAAAATGGTTGAAAGACTTTCATATCTTGCATATATCTCGACTCGAGATAGTGATAGCACCTTGATTTTTCTTTCAGAAGATGCAGCGTCAAAAGCTCGACAAAAACAGCGTAAACAAATTTCTATTGCATAGAAAAGTCTTCCAAACATTTTGTATTATCACTTTGTCTTTTTTTGTGTCATTTTTTTCGTAGGACTGAAGATTGCTTTGCCTATTTTATTTTATATTCCGAGAGTTTTCCGTATGGAACAGATGTAAACAGATAGTGCTCGATCTCTGCTACAAGAATATATAATCAAATTAAATCAACGTTGTTTGGTTCAAATGGACGACTCAAAATACAAAAGTAGGGCGAGACTTATGACCCCCCACTGTATATGATTAAATAAAATTTTTTCTTTTCCTTTTAGTCTATCATCGCGGCGGGTCGTCAACAGCAATATAATCGTTCAACATCAAAGCACGTAAGTAATTATTTCTTTTTTTTCTTTTGAGAAAGAGAATAGGGTGAGAGAGGAATGAGAATAGATAGTGACAGTGAGAATGAGTAGAGTTAGAGTAAGCCTCAGCAAAGTGAGTGTTAATGAGAGGGAGGGTTGAGTTATGTCCAGCGGGGTTAGGTCCCTGTTAGTTACAGGCCTTCCGAGTAGGCCCTAAAAATCCGGCCAGGAACTATCTTGGTGTCCGTGGCATACGACCGGGCTCCCCAGACTCATTGATATATCTCTCGAGTGGGTGAATGTGGGCGTTCTTTTTGTCGTTAATCACATACACCCACACCCACACCCCACCCTTTCCTGTGCTATGATACGCGAAGTTTTAAACAAATTGCAAGAACTTAATAGCTTTTGTTGGAGATCAATAACACACAATTCATTCCATATTATAGACAGTTTTTGATAATGTTTTGTTCTGCAAGAGTTTGTCGACATCGTTTCATTTGAAAATAGTTTCTTTTCGACCATGTTAAAGACAAAGATGTTTCTGTCTTTGCTTTCAGAATCGTATGACGCAGAACGATTCTTTTCTATTTGACATTTATTGTACAAAATAACACTGACGTACATTAGATTAGATATTTCAATGAACACAACATCAAATGAATAGTCCTCTATAGTATAATCATAAGCATGAACTTCGTTCTCGTACAACATTATTTTGAACCGTTGGTGGGCCGATTGTATTAGCAGTTCGATGCTGTTCGGTGATCGCCGTTTGTTAACGTTGAGTTGAATGGATTGCAGGCGCACGTTGTTTAGTCCATTTGAATAATTGACGAAGTTGTTCACGATAGAGACTTCCCGAGAAAATATAGAGGAAAAATGAAAGAAAATAATCACATTGTTGCCACATAACGAGGATATAACGTATACCAGTGATATACACCGTACGTGTTGATGGATTAAATGCATTCATAAAATAAATGATACCGAATGGAGTAGTCAAAATTAAATGAGAACAAACTTGAAGAAGTAACATACGTGCTAATTGTCCTTCCGTACGACGAACACCTATCGAGAGGGTTTGTGCTGCTACACGAACAGCATGTCGATGAGTATTGATAATCGTTAGAATTCCGAAGATAATCAATAATAATGGTGCCACAGTATAATATAGTGCCATTTGACTATACACATAAATACTCACCGGTAAAGTTGTGTATTGCAGACATGTGCTGGTTGTTCTATCGAAAAAATAGATGGCGGTCATGGGTGACATGTACATCACCACTGATATTGTAGTAATAATGATGGTTATACGAGCTTTTCGTTTCGTACTTGCCGGATTTAGTTGACGTGCTGTCGAACTTGAACGATATCGATCAAATGAAGCTAAGACGAGCATGGCTCGAGCAAGATATATTGGTGTGAACAAAACGAAGAAATATATGTAACACCCTACCAGTGTACTATCCCAACCGATAAACAAGGCACGTATAACTAGTGTTGGACATAGTAAGCAAGTGTAAATAATACTGCAGATTGCATAGCCCATAAGATAATAAGTACATAGTGAAGTGCGAAGAACACGCGAGCATAAGACGCGAATTTTAAGAATATTTGTAACTATAATCAAAATAAATAGCACAGGTTGTATGTAAACATTCGCTGCCATGACATGATCATACAATGTTTTCATATTTAACGAATTTGATCAATAGTATATCAAATTGACGAAGGTATACTATTGATGATGAAAGATATATATATATATATAAATAGAGAGAGAGAGAGAGAGAGAAATATGCCAGTCTTGAAATAAACTTGTTACTGAATAACAATTCTAACGACGTACTTTTTCTTGGAATGTCACTTAGAGAGAAAATCGTTATAAACCAATGAATTCTACAAAGACAAACATGTCAGAAAAAAAATCATCTCATCGTTGATAATGATGATCATGCGGAGCGTGCATAATCGAAAATGTCATAATAATTGTTGCAAGATCTCATTCTTCTTTTTTTGCTTTCCTCATTACTTATTTAGAATACCATGACAGATCGAAACATTTTATTATTTGAAATCTAATTCATCACGAAGTGATTGTTCAAAGTGAGTAACAATATTTGCTAGGAAAGAGTACCACTCTAGTTTCAAATAGCTGACACCAATAATTTTATACCTAATGAAAACCGATCAAAAACGAGAGTTTTTTTAATACTAGATAGTGAGGGTTGTCAGTAGCTTTTAATGTCGAACTTAAGAAATTTCTATGAATTGCATGCATTTTCTCGCATGGAAAAACTCAAGCATAAGTAATTTATAAATGGATGAAGATATCTGTTGTGATATTTTTACATAGTTTGATACAACTTGTCAAGCTTCACAAATGTAACAATTCGTATGGAAAATCCTAAAAATGGTAAAAAAAACTTATTTTTTCACTAACAATAACGTTTCAAAATGCAACCATTACACACAGTTTTTGCATGTTACACTTATTGAGTATATTTTAGGGCTGGCATTTTATCTTTAACTATACTTTGAAAAAGTAAAGTAAAGTAATATAACTAAATTAACTTTATTATTGATTTATCAGCTCATTATCATGCATTGATAAAGTTACAATATACTAAAGTTTATATAAAATTTTAAATAAGTAACTGGAAGATAAAACAAAAACTGTAAAATTAACGTGCATCACATTTTAATATTTGAAAGTGTCGTTTCTTTTGATACACATATGTAATAGAAAATGAATTTTATCTGAATAGACCTAACTCACTTTGTAAAAATAAGTTATAAAGGTAACTTATTCTGTGTCTACTTATTTCGCAATCGTTTGGCACAAGATTGGATGCTACGATCGCAAACCATGTAATTTTCCCTTGCTTTTGGAAGCTACATCTAGACTGTGTTATTACCATGCTAACTAACAAATATATTAGTGATTTTCTAATATATTTTTGTATATAGTCGAAACATATTCATAGTCTCTTGATGTAATATGTTAAGATATTCGTTCAGATTTCAGGAAGAACAAAAAAGAATTAATTAGCTATAAAGATGTAGGATATTAGACAAATAATTTTTTATTAGTGTTAAAATGTCACAGGTATTGATGATAATATGATAAACATACTTTTCAGATTTACATCTTGTATAACGTCAATTTCCCATATGATTCTTTCAAGTTTTTTTTATTTCAAAAGAAAAGCAACATAAGCTATAATTCACTATAATATTTAATCATCTTACTTTTTCACTCTTCTTTGTGTTCACAAGTATGCTATATAATGAAAAAATTTCACATGTGTTCGAACAAGCAATATAACAAACAAACAAACAAACAAACAATACAGAATCGTAAGTAAAAATAAATTTTGTTTTAATTACGTACAACCATCGAATATCGTAACGTAGTCGACGAAAGCCATGCACGATTTTTACGATCGAAATACCCTGCGACGCTAAATGCTGATGCACTGGGTACATTGGTACAGGGTATACAGCTGTACCGTTTGACCAACTGTGACAGTTGTGGAAGAAGTACTTTATTTTGACACCAGTAGTGACTAAAACTTCGACCAGTATGAGCTGTAGATATGTAATGTTGCAATTCTTCTTTAAAACACAGTTGTTGTTTGATAAAAGTTATTACTGAATTAGATAATGAAGGCATTTTGCAGATAGAATAATATCGATCTAATGAAGATATTTGTTCTCGAACAGTATTATTTGATGTTACTTGATATGATGATGTTGATGACGAAACGGAATTAATTGTTATTGATGAAGTTCCGATTTGTAATCGATCAAACGATTGACGCATTATTAAATTCGGACAACAGTAATTGTTCAGCTTTGCTAATATCTTCATCACTTAATTTTCGATAAGTTGTTGGATCCAAGAAAGCAGCAATCTAAGGTGAAAGATAAAAGCAATAGAGTTGAATATTCTGTATAAAAAATCTCCGAAAATTATAAAAGTATCCGAAATCATATATCAAGAAATCATGATTGTGGTTTAGTCTCCTTAAGAACAGTCTGATAAGAGTAGGATATATCGAGCATCATATTTTCTTTTTAAAGAAACTCCTAGAACAAGTTCTCAATTCTTCATTCTTTTCAGTAGTCTTTTCACGAATAAATCAATTCTTTTCAACATGAATAATAGATAAAAGATGTATTAATACAGACTATATTCCATCAAAGGTAAATTTTTGCCTCCAAAATAACTTTTGTTTTATAAAAAACCTTCTGCTTTCCCTAAACCTCAAACAGTTAGACGTACTAAAATCGTATGTTTTTGTTTTAAACTTGTTTCTTCTTCAAAATAATAGTTGAATTGAATTAACAAAAGTTTTTTAAATGCATTTTCTAATGCTTCATCACTTTCAGCAGTTGTCAAAAAGTTTTTCAATGCTACTAAAACAGAATACCCAATTGAAAGGGTAGGATATTTTGATCCTGAAAGTAATTTTGTTGCTCGATAAAAAGGAAATAAAACATTTTTTAATACTGTTAAGCACAACCAATCAAAACGTGTAAAAGATAATCTACGAAGTTTTTCATATTGTCCTTTTTTTTTAAACCAATTTCAATACTAGGTGATAATGTTACGTCTGTAATTATAGAACTAATTGCAATAAATCGTGATAACATAACATATGTCGTATTCCAACGAATACGAAAATCCATAACAATACCATGTAGTTTAATCGGTTTTGTTTTTTGTTCTTGAGCATATCGTTTTATTTCAATATTTTTAAGATGAATTTGATGTCGAATATATCGATCAAGTGGATATGATTTCTTAATGAAGCTTATTAAACATCTTACACGTTGTAATAAATTATAAATAAATAAAATTAATGAATCAGTATTAGAAATAAGTTCGATTATTAACTCATCATTCGTTTGACGTTGGTTGTTGATATTAGATTGTGATAATGGTAGTTCATCATTTGTATTTTCATTTTCATCTTCATCACTACTAGGCGGTAATTCTTCATCAGTTGATAAATATGTAATGGGAGAATCATTTGAATAATCATTCGAATTGGAATCATCACTGATATAATCATTATCACTGGAATCTTCTTCATTTTCGCTATCAGAATAGCTTGTTGTCTCATTATTACTATCATCATCATTTGGTTTTGAAGAAGTTGTAGTAGATGATGATTTAGAACTATTAAAAAAAACAAATAAAAATATTGGAAGCTGTTTAAAGAAAATAATTTCTTATCGAGTTCATGTTGTCATTTTCAGTTTTACGATCCATTAAATGTAATTTTAGTATGAAAAACCTATAATATATCCTATAGTCGTTAAAAATCAAAAGCACATTCATAGAGAATAGGAGATCAAGTTAAAATGTAATTCATAAACTTAATATCATTCTTGAATCATCTAGCATAGTGCCGAAACTACTCTTATGGAAGTTTTTATACGTTGTTTCTTTGTAAGCTATGCTTGTCTTATCAGTTTTCATTTTCTACTGATTCATCAAAACGTTGAAAGTCAATTTTAACAGAAACAAATTATACATTCTTTCAAAGGAGTAATACAAACTTCAAAATTTCCAGAAGTTTATGTTAGAATATATATATTCTTCTTGAAGGTTTTACTACCCATGAAAAAAAATATGGTATAAAAATGCGTTTCAACGCAAACTTTTAGAAAAAAACGCTATTTTTGCGTTATAACGCATCGTTTTGTAAGTTCAACGCGTTTAAACGCATCGAGTTCTTTCCCCAGCGCATTTAAATGCATTCTTTTTATTTTGAACGCATTTTTCCAAATTAAAACGCAACTTTAAAACACAGTTTGAATGCGTTTCGTTTTATGCGTTTGGATGCGTTTGTCTGCTTTGCATTCAAATGCGTTTTTTAGCCTTCTTTGATTGAAAAACGAGTTTTTTTCGAAACGCGTTATAATGTTGTTCTTTTTTATGCGTTTTTTCTAGAAAAAACTGATGTTTTCGAAACGCATTACAATGTTGTTCTTTTTAATGCGTTTTTTCTCCAAAAGATGTATAGTTTAGAAAAGCGTTTGAACGAATATTTGTATGTAAGTGTTTCCAGTAAAGATGTGCTTCTAGAGAATACAAATCTGTTTTAGTTAGAGTAAATGTTAGGTGATATCAATGTGAACATTGAAAAGTTAAAAGGTACTACTCTTCGGAACAATTCTTTGTGATATAATAAGATAAAAAAATAGTCGAATAACATAGAAAACAAAGCATGTATTTAATAAAAAAAAACTAACAATTGAAGATAAGTAGTAATATGTTCTCTAACTAGACTCAGTTAACGTTGGATACCGAATGAAAATAAATTGTTTCGAATTAATAGTAGCATAATTTTTCAATAACATCATCTACATTAGTATGAATATGGTGATTAAAATCAATTGTCCCAAATTCAACATTATCGCAAGAAATTTTTTATGTGTTAAAATTCAATAATATCTCATCTTTTTTGTTATTACGTAAATGATAAAGGCGATTATAAACTTCAGTGTGATTTTTGACTATAGAACGGGATATATGCAGGTTTGTGGAGAAAGACTTTCTCTATCTAGTGGTATATATATTATTAAATTGTGTTGCGTACCGTGGTAGAAACTTGAATAGAAAAAATCATGCATCTTACATCTTACAT